GAATTGTCCCAGTATTACAGTCAAATTTCAGAATTTGCATCTCTGGCAACAGCTAATTAGTTATCTTCCACTTTACCTGATAACCAATATGTTTTACCTCTCCCCATCTTGTTTACCTGAAAGGGCTTACCTCCCTCCCTGTTCACCAGGAGGCTGCATCTCCCCTTCAGCTGGTGGAAATGTGACCAACACAAGAGTTGGGGGGGGGGGCTGTTTGTTTTGTTTTTCGACACAGGTTTCTCTGTATAACTTCCCTGAGTGCCCTGGAACTCTACTCTGTAGCCCAGGCTGGCCTCAAACTCACAGATATGTGCCTGCCTCTGCCTCCCGAGTGCTGAGATCAAAGGCGTGAGCCACCACACCTGTCCAGAAGATCGTTAACATTGGACTGAGGGGGATGATTTGAGGCACAAGAGGGTAGAAGGGAGGATTTTTCTAGGAAAGGGGCCCTGAGAGGACAAGGGTGAGGGAGCATGGTGGAAGCTGGAATTAACGAGGATCTTAGAAAGGCCCTTTATGACATCAGGAAAGAGATAAATACCATCCCTCTATCCCTCTGCTTCTATGTTCTCGGTGAATGAGGAAGCAGTTACAAGTTGTGAGAAAAGGAGGCATGTCAAAGGGCTTGCAGAAGTAACCTCAGCAGTAAGACATAATGGACTAAGAAAGACAGTGGGATTGACTGTCAGGAGCCTTATTAAAGTTTCATGTGGGGCCAGATAGCAGTCTCTCAAGAGATCTGAGCTAGAGGCACAGAAGTGACCCGTCATCCCTTACCTCTGTGGCCAGTCTCACTGTGCTCCTGTATCTTTGTCAAGCACCCTGGAGGTATTGCTCCGATCAGTTAAGTTTGAGAAGTATTTGGACATAGGTGAGGCGACTTACCACGGGATGTGTCGGTATGCTAGGGCAGAGGGTAGTGCATGGGAGTCGCGGGGACCTGGGGTCAACCCCATTGTGTCACTGGGTTAGCACCAGAGCCTCTCCTGACTGTTTCTAGAGCCACAGAATAGTAGTGCAGAGTACTGTAGGGACGATGAAGTTAGAGAGCATGAGAAAAAAGTCTGTCCATTTAAAACTGAAGCTTTACAGTGTGTAGAGTAGAAAAACAGTCAGCCAGACCCAGACGCCCGCCACCTAGTAGTTACCAGAGTTATTAGCACACACCTTTTTTGGCCTGTAAACTTTTTGGAAGAGATATAGTTCACATGCCATGAGGTTTACCCTTTAAAACATACTCTTTTACTTACAAATGTAAGACCACGCATTGTCTACCGTGTGCTTTACAACCTAACATTGTCTGTTTAATCCATAATGAGTAGTTTCCCTTTGTCAGTGTTGTTTGGAAAAAGTTTGACTGTTTCATTGTATTCTACAATTTAATTGGTTCCCTAATAGTGGAGCATTTAAATTTTCTGCAGTTATTTTACTAATACAAATAATTTCATAGTAACTATAGTTATTTTATAAGTCTTTGCTTAACTGGTTGTAAAATAATTTTCTGAACTTGTAATTATGAAATACAAATACTGAGACTTTTTTTAAGAGTATTATCAAATTGTCCACTAAAACAAAGAATCTAATGATTCTGTTTCCTGCCTAACTGGAAATCTTCTCATCAACTTTTCAATAATAAATTGTTTGATTTCATTACATTTATCAAGAAGCACTACTTTTAGATTTCAAGAGCACAGTTTGACCCTAGAGTAATAAAGATGGACAGAGGACATCACCCCCTTTCTGGTGATGGGGACATCTTTTCCCTTTTATCTGGTGTGAACACCTAAGCTGGTTCTGTACTGTAATGCAGTGGTGAACGTGGAAATTGAAAAGCTTTCAAAGCATAGGAGAGTGCTTTATAAAGTCAGTGTTCAAAACTGTATCAGCTGTGAAGACTTGCAAGGACTCTAAGGAGTCTTGCAAGGAGTCTTCTGCTGAACAGAAAATCATTATTCTCAGGGCACTTGAGGCTGGTACAAGAGTACCCAGCTTCACTGGGCTTTTTGAAAACACAGGAGCACACGCGTACACCCTTGAGATGGAGCCCAACAAGGATATTATCAGTTGTCACCCTGCAAGGTGTCAAATAATTTGAAACTTACTTGTCCCCTGATACATCATCATCACGTCCCCAAATGGGGGATGGCTGCATTTCCTACCTGAAGAACAGGTGTCCTTTGTAATCTTTGGGACAGACTGCATCTCCCCCCCAATGCGGGGATGTTACCACCCTTCTCTCCTAAGTTCTGCAGACGTTTCTTTTGCTCGTTGTTATACTCATTGTTGCACTCACTGCTGCCTCACACTGCAAAAACAGCTATCAGACACACTGCTTCTGTTGTGCTTTTGTGTTTATTTCAAGGGGAAACTGATAGGAGTTCCACTGTTCATCTTTCAAAGCTCATTTCTCAGCATCAGATTGTACTGTTTGGGAATATGACGGCAAGGAAGTGTTAGCCCCGAAGACGTACGTAGTGCCCAGAACACAGCAACCTCTCCCCTTTGGCAGTTGAAGCATTTCATTGAGGTCCCACGTTAATTCTACTGTGTTCATAAAGCAGAGGCTGGTCCCAGGTCCTGCCTCCATGCCCCTGTGACTGAGAAGTGGTGTGGTGGCACATCAGGCCACAGACCATCCTGGTGCTTATAACACCCACTCCTCTGTTTCATGATCAAATTCCTCTATACAAATCAACAGACCTTGTAATTAATTTGAAATAACCAGTGTTTCTATTTTAATTTTTATTCACAACAAAAAAACTGATGAATCAGTTCTGTGAGGAAGAGTCCATAGTTCCATTACTGTCTTCACTTGGCTCAAGTTGGCCAGTACCCGATTTTTCAAAAATCTGGTTGAGAATACAAAATTCCAGTGCCAGTATTATGACCTAAGTCCTCTTGCTCGTTTGTTTCCTATGTAAGACAAGGATAACACTATATCCAGAAGCCCAGGATCTAGAAGAAATGTTATGAAATTTAACTTTTTTTGTTCAGGTATTAATTCCACACTTCCATGCTGAGCACTCCACCTACACAACTAAGCAGGTATGAGGTCTCCCTTCTGCAGGAGCTTTTATATTATCACTCATGACTTTATTGTTGTCTTGTTCAAAGTCCAAAAAGGGATCTCACTATCACATAAAAGCTACCTCAGACTCCTGATCCTCTTCTGCCGTCACACTGCCAGTTATTGCTGCCTCGCGTGCTTCCTGAATAGAGTGCAGTCTCTTTCAAGAACTGGTAGGACTGAAAATAAAACAGGCATGGGAAAGAGCTTTGTCACATAAACTTTAAGAAAAAACGTTAGGAACTCAAGATGATGACGCACACCAAGGCAGGAGGTCACCAGTCTAGGCCAGCCTGAGCTATATAGCAAGGCTACCCTTCAAGAAATAAAAAAGAAAAGCATTATGATAAATTTGAATTATGATCAATTTATCTTAAGTAAATATTTTGAATTTTAATTAAGTCATAAAACTACCTCCATGATTATATGCATAATTAAGCTGTTAGATTAACAGTTAAAATACTCCTGGGCATGTTGCCATACAAACTCATGAAATAAGGCAGAGGGTGGCTGATTTCAGGTGTACCTGTACTACAAAGCAAGTTCCAGGACAGTCTGGACTATATAACATCACCTGTCTGAAAAGCAAACAAAAAGTTAATTTTTATATATAAAAGTATTATATATAATATATATTGCACCATTTTCTAGAGCAAGTAATCAGCGTTATATTACTACATCTTATACACACTGTATTACAGTCACTTGAAATGTAGATTAGATAGTAATTTACCTAGCTAGTAAGATGCTATGATGGCACCTGACAATCAAGAACTTTCACTCACAGGTGCATAATGCTCAGCCAGAAAAATTATACTGGGATAGTAGCATGTAACCTCACAGATATGATCATAGATGTTTCTACAACTGCACAGTAATATTCATCACTAATTTTGAGGTAGATACTATTTATTATTTCTAGGGTTTTTTTTTTCCCTCTCATTGATATTTATTGTCTTTTCTGGGTTTGGGGAACCCATATGAGGAGTCAAATGCACACATCTGTAATTCCAGCACTTCTGCAGTGAGATGAGAGGTGGAGACCAGAGAGCTGCCCAAAAACTTGCAGGCCAGCTAGCCTAGAGTACACACCGAAGCCAAAACATGAGAGACCTGCCTCCTTAGCAAGGTGGTGAAAAGGGACTCTTGAAAGTTGTCCACTGATCACCCTGCAAATGCTGTGGCATGCACATGCCAACACTCACAAAATAATAATAATAATAATAATAATAATAATAATAATAATAAAGGGGTTTTTGGAGGCGGGCTTGAGACAGGGTTTCTCTGTGTAGCTTTGGAACCTGTCTTAGAACTCACTCTGTAGACCAGGCTGGCCTTGAACACACAGAAATCCGCCTGCCTCTGCCTGGAAAGTGCTGGGATTAAAGCTGTGCATCACCACCACCCAGCTAATACTAAAGTTGTTAAGAAGGAGTCTGAAAACGTGAAAGAACTTTAGGTCTCTGTTGTCTAATTGACATTATGAAGAGCAACTAGGACAGTCTTGGTCAGCTCTCAAACTGGGCTGGAAAATGGTACACTTGAGAGTGCATCCTAGGATCCGGACAGAACAGGGGATCTCTCCAACACTACCCTATTGATAAGACTTCTTTGAGTCAGTGAGACCAAAAGACTGATTTTAAAAAACAAGTCAAGAAAGGACTTGTGTGGCACAAATCAATGCACAGTGTCTACAAGGAATAAAGACTCTGAGATTTCAATGTGTGAGACTGAAAATTGCAGAAAGCTATACTATCTTTGTGTTCAGATTCAGAATTCTTTGGCTCCTGATTTTACATTGGAGATATTGACTAAAACCGCCAGCTTTATTTCTTACGTAGGGTGGTTGTTTTAAAGATCATTTTCGTCCTTAATGCAGTCTGGGTTTGGGGAAGAAATGTGAGTGCTAAGTCATGGTTCTTCTTTGTTGTAGGTAAAACACTAGTCAAGAAGCTGGCAAGAAAGGTAAGCATTGCTGGGGCTTTTGTTTGTTTGGGGTGACCTCGAAAATGAACTAATACACCTTAAATTGAAAGTTTTTAACTTGTGTATTCAAAGGATATCGAGGATGTACTATCAGGAATCCAAACAGCACGCTGTGGATCAACTTTTTTTAGAGACCTGGGTGATAAAGGTAATTTTTAATCATTGCTAAATTTCTATGTATAAGTTTTATTTAATTAAGTAGTATTAGATAATTAAACTGGGATATTTATACCATGAAATTTAACTGATGTTTCATGGCATAATAAATGATGAAGAGGTAACTTTTTCAAATTTTTTAAGCAATTAAAGATAAATTATTAGAACATCAGTGAGTAAGTCCTAGAGAAGGAATGAGGGAAAGTGGAGAGTAGGGGATGAGGCCAGTGTGGAAATCAAAAGACGGCCTCAGAGAACCCTGAGGAGTACTGTGCAAAGAGGCCATAAAAAGGCCAGGCAGAATGGCCAGAGGAAAACACTGAGAGTGTTTCACAGAGGCTGAGAGAACATGGTAAAGAGGAGAGTTAGGCCAGGCATGCAAATGCACACCTGGAGTGCCCTGACGCCTAAGTTTGTCAAAAGATTGTCCTGCACTGATTGAAATGATGCTGTGATTTCAGTCTTTGAGTCTGTATGACATCTCTTGGTTTACATATATTGAACCAACCTTGAATCCTGAAATAGAACCAACGTGGTCATAATGTTTGTGCTCCTTAATACGTTCTTAAATTTAATGTCAAATTACTGAGAATTTTTACGTCTGTTTATCAGGAAAATCAGTCTTCAGTTTTCTGTTGCTGCTGTGTGCTTATGTGGTTTTAGTACCAGGGTTAAGACCAGCTTCTCACAGTGAGGTTTGCAGTTTCCTTAGCTTTCTGCTTCGTGAGTAGTTTGAAGAGTATTAGTGTTGCCTCTTCCTGGGTAGGGTTAGTGAAGCGAGGGAAGGAGTCTGTGTGCTGCTGTGAGAGCCTCGCGCTTCAGTCTCCTTGCTTGGTAGAGCTCTGCCTAAACGAATTCTGGCCTCCTGATTGACTTTGGCGGGTACCTGTGCTGTGGCTTCGCTTCTAGTGGTTTTGGAATATGGATTTTCAAGGTAGTCCTTCAAATGATCCTTTGGGTTCCATTGGTATCTGTTGAAATGTCGCTGTTTCCTGTTTAATTGATTGATTGCATCCTCCCTCTCTTTTAATTTGACCAATAGTTTTTCTGTCTTGTTTATTTTCTAAAAACTTACTTTGATTCATTAAGTCTTGGTATTGTTCTTTTAGTCCAGCTCATTAATTCTTCCCTCGTATTTCTTGCTATCTACTGCTTTGGGGTTTGTCTCGTTCTTGTTTTTCAAACACTTTCAGATGCTCCTTTAAGTCACTCAGATATAAGATGACTGTTTCTCAGTGTATATTCACGTGCTCATGTGTGAAGCTGCACATGGAGACCTGAAGATAACCTGTGGTGTCATCCTCAAGAACACTGTCTACCTTTTTGAGCCACAATTTCTCATTGGCCTGGAGCTCACCAATTAGTCTAGACTAGCCAGGCAACCCAGGAGGTCTTCTTGTCACGACCTCCTCAGTGCTGCCATTACAGCATGCTCCTCTGCCCTGGGTTTTTATGTGGTTGATGGTCAGCCCCACTGTGGTTTCCTGACAGCCGTCATAGTTACAGACATTGCAGATACCTTACCTGTATTCTGATAAGTGTGCTTCCACTCTGATTTGATTTGAGGAAGTTGACATTTTCCTTCCTGGTTTCTTCGGTGACCCAGTGATTTGTTACCTAAGAGTACACTGTACAGTACAGAAATGCTTATATAGTTTCAATAGATTCTTTTGCTGTCTACTCTTACTGTACTATGATCTGAAGAGATACAAGGAATTATTTCACTTCTCTTATATTTGTTAAGACTTGCTTTACGGCCTATGGTGTCATCTATTTTAGAGAAGTACTCAGAAGAATGTTGGATAGAGTACTGTGTAACTGTCTCATTGGTCCATTTGATCTATGATGCTTGAAATTGAATGAAGAATCTTCAGTTAATTTACTCTTGCAGGCAGCCAGGTTTCAGTTCCCAACACCCATCCATAGCTCCAGTTCCAGGGGATCCAGTGCCTTCTGGAGGCCCCAGGAATGCACGTGGTACATATGCATTCATCAATGCAGATAAAACACTCATATACATACAATTCTTAAAATACTAGAAAAAGACAAAATACTAATAAAAAGAATAGTATAGAGGGGAGAAAGGAAAATACAGTAACAAAAGATGAAGTGTCAGAGAGGCTCTGTCTGAGTACTGTAGGACCGGAGTCTGCAGTGGGGTCAGGGACACTGTGAGTTGAACTTGGAGACTTCTGTCATGCTGTGATTCACACTGCTGTGAGGCTGGACTGGACAAGGGTTAGAAGTCAGCCAGGGCAGTCTTCACTTAGGTAGCTTCCCTTTGAGTATAGGGGCCCTCTGCTGGCCCCAGTTAGCTTTGCAGACTGTGGGCCAGGCAGGTTTTCCCGTCCTCCTGAGACTTCATTGTTATCCCAAGGAGCCTCCTACTGGAGGGCATCTCCCAAGTGTGTTGGGAGTAAAGAAGAAAACACAGCACTGAGATCTTCCCAGGCAGACCTGTCCCCTTCACCTTCAAACCCACTAAGTATGGAACACCCTGCTGGAGGGCTGCAGCTGTGGACAGGCAGTTCCCTGTAGCTTTAGAACTCTTAGTCTCTACAACAGGATCCTTGTGGCAATTAGATGGCTCTTGAGGCTGACCTACCCACTGACCTCAAGCTTAGGGCTGTCGGACTCCAGGGTTTTCTCATTTGATGAGATCTGCCCCAGCCGCCAAGAGCAGCAGGACTTCCTCCTGTATCTTCACCCGACCCCAGCCTCCAGCCACAGTCTTTGCTGTGTAATTACCCCTTGTGCTCAGGCCTCAAAGTATCAGTCTTAAAGAGTAGGTTCCTGGTCAAGATGGCACCCAGCCACAGCCCTCTACAATTCCTGGGAGGAGTGACAGTGTGGAATTGCTCACCGCTGTGGGCCACGCTTTCTCACCAAAACCTACACTGCACGGAGGGTTCTGAGAACTGTGGGCTTATGCTGTGAGCAACATTGCCAGTCCCTCGCCATGGCCTCCTGCATTTCCTTCCAGATAGGCTTCTGCTCCCCACCCCCACACGGGAGCTGTACCGCTGGAACTCTGTGTGGCCGAGTCAGCCATGCTTTCTCCAAGCTGTCCTGTCACCCTTGGTGGTTTCCGGTGCTGTCCCCTTCTCCCTCTGGAATCCAGTCTGCTCTGTTTGATCCTGGCTCCTCCTCCCCTCCATCTTTCACATAAACCAGCTGCTAGCCCATTTTGTCCTGAGGGCTTGATACTTAGAGGGGAGTGAGCGGTGAGGTAGGAAGCCATGTTACAAATTTTTGAGAAATAGTTGAGGGACCTGGGCATGAGCAGGAAGTTAGAAGGAGGGAGGTGGGGGTGAAGACAGAGAGTGAAGGCATGTTCATTAGTCATGATGGAGAGACATTAGTGAGGGCATGTTCATTAGTCATGATGGAGAGACACGAGCACATTTCTTATTGATGAGAGAAAAGGGGGAAGTTTGAACATGATGAAATCCTAGAAAGAAGGAGAAGAGGGATTCTTTGAAAGCCAGAGGGAAAGACCATCGTGCCACTGGCTGCTAGCTTTTCTATTGTCCCAGGAGAGAAGAGAGAATAGATGATGCCCATCTGATGTACTGTGTTGGTATCGAGTACTGGGGAGCAGCCTGGACAAGACAGAATAGTGGAGTGAACTATAGAGAAACAAAATTATTGTGAAAAGCTGTAAGCAGAGATGTAGTTCATGAAGATTAGAGCCATTGGTCAGCTGCGTGATTATCCTGCATCTCCCGTGGAGCAGTAGAATGCTGCACTTGAATTGAGTTAGGGTCATGTTGGGCAAGTAGAGGACAGTCCTGGAGGAAGCCATTGAGAATATTGACTACGAGAGAAAGTTTGACTAATTATCCACAGACCCTAAACAGGACAGTAGAAAAGGAAGTCAGAGAAGAAGGAAGATGAAGAGGGGAAATTAAAAAGTCAAGAGAAAGCTGCCAGGGAAGTTGGAAAGCATACATAGTTGGGGAAAGAGTGGTTGGTTTGAGAAATAAACATTTAGAAATCTTCAAAATAGCTCTAGAGCTATGGCTGAGTGCAGAGCTCCTAGCTAATGTGTGAGGCCCTGTGTTTTATCCCCAAGTCCACAAAATGAAAACTTGTGTGCGTACCACTGTACATTTTAGTAAACAGTAATTGATAGCTGCTTGTGTCCATTTCTGTTCATTCCTGAGTGTGTCGGTATGTAGCAGGTAGCACAGATTTCATTATGTTGCTTATACTGAATTACCCAATGATTTTTGCACTGTAGTAACCCCTATTGCAGCAGCTCTCAACCTGTGGGTTGTGAAAAGGTCACATACCAGATATTTACATTGCAATTCATAATAGTAGCAAGATTACAGTTATGAAGTAGCAACAAAATAATTTTATGGTTGAGGTTACTACAGATGAGAACTGGATTAAAGGGTCGCAGTATTAGGAAGGTTGAGAACCACTGCCTCCCAGTTGGATCCCTCCCAATCACAGCACCAGAATAAACCTATGAGCTTAGAGGTAATACCTCCTACAGTTTTCATATTGGGAATTTGTAGGGATGTATGTGTTCTGAGTCAGCACAGTCAGTTCTCCTGTATTTGTGACCAGGAGGAAGCAGGGATAGATAAACTCTGGCACTCAAGCTCTCTCCAGTTTCCGTTATCTCAGCAGAGATTCCAGAGTCTGGTGCATTAACCAATAATGAAGTCTAGTCATCACAGATAGAAAAAAGTTGAGGAGGGATTAAACGGGGATTTTGCTTGCTTGTTGTAGTTTTCTGTTGAAATCTCTATTTCCAAGGAAGAAGGAAAGGCTCATCTGTACCTCACTGCTAATGTTAATAAAAATGTGTAAAGAACAATTTAAGATACTGCATTTCACCCCATATAAGATCTGTCACAGTTTATAACATAACCAACAAAAGGTGGAATGCTCTTGAGATAGAAGAGAAATAATTTATTATGCATTAGAAAGAAAAGTATATTGTAAGTTTTGCTTATTCTGAATTTTTAAACTGAGCTACAGTCTCGATATCACACTTGCCTCAAGGATGTTCTGACCATAAGTTACAAGACATATTGTTGTAAGATCCCCATGGAAGAGAGATAACCCAGCCACCTTGGGAAATACTGTTCTCAGAATGCTGCTACTGAACAGACCATGTTTGAGTGTGGTTCCAACTTTAAAATATTTCTGAAAGTGTAGGAACTGTTCACTCGTCGTTCCTAGTGGCCCTTAAAGATTCTTTATCAAACCTTTAAAGGTAAGCTTTAGAGACATTCCTGTTTGGGCTGGAGAGATGGTTGGTGGTTGAGAACACTGACTCCTCTTCCAGAGAACACAGGTTCAATTGCTGGCGCCCCCTGGCGCCTCACAACTGTCTGTAACCCATGCGTATGGTGCACTGATATACAGGCAAGACACCAATACACATAAATAAAAATTTCCCTGTTTATCATGCAGCTTTGAAACTGCCACTTAGAGCATTCGGTTTCCCATTCCGAGTAACAGATAGGCGCTGAGCTGTTTTCCTGCGTGTGCCCTCAGATGTGTCTCTGGAAGTGCATTCTGAGGCCGCTGCAGGGGTGCTGCAGGGGTGCTGTTGCTTGTCCTGCATCTTGAGCACAAGCTGCTCTTTTTACCCTTTCTCAGCTGTGCTTATTTAAACCTCTACTGAAGTCAGTGTTTCAGAAAAAGTCGCTGGGATTTTCCTTTTCAAAAGTCATCTATGCTTAAAGGACATTTACCTGTGTTTAAAGACAAGAGAGGTCTCCTTTGGCGCCAAGCCCAGGACAGTCTACACGTTGGCCTTTTTCCCCCTTTGCTCTATTCCTTTGAAATACAGAAAAACACTATTTTCCACCTTTTTTCAGGCTGCCAAGGGATGAAATGCTTTGATCCTCAAACTAACATTAGAGCACTTCTGCCAGGAGTAAGATATGGCAAACACATAGAATTTATTCTCCCTTCATGTAAACATTGAACGGCCTTCAGAAAGAAGTGTCCGAAGACTGACTACACGTCCTCACTTTGAGAGAACAGAACTGCTCTAAAATCAAGTAAATAGAGAGCATTTGAGTCTTTACCTGTGAGGCTTTGAAATGATACGATATGTAGGATTTGTTTCAGAATAATCTAGTGAGAGGTGGGGATTAAAAGACAAAATAAGGCTCACAAATTGATAATTATTAGGTCTGGGTTTCATTATATCATTATCTAATATAATAATATATAACTATCATTCCATGTAATTTTATCTGTCATTGAGTTGTTCATGATAAAGTGTGTTCAGTTGTAAATTGTGCTTCTGATCCAGAGACAACAGTTTTATTTAGTGACCAAATACAGAGCTTGCCCTAAAACTTCTTTAATTTGGAGCTTAGACATACCCAGTACCCATCTTTCAAGACTCCCGGTTAAATATGGGCTCTCAGGCTCTGAATACTGCCTTGTGTCAGTCAGTTCCAGTCACTTTACCCATAGCCTCATAGTCCTGAGTGTAACTCTCACATCATCGAGAACACGCACCATCCTCTCCACAAAACAAGCCAGTCATCCAGCATCCTCCGTAGAAATCATGCAGTACCGCTCAAGTAGCCCAACTTCAGTCATGAATTATCCCTGAACCAGTCCCCTAGAACCACACTCCTGCGACCTGTTCACCAGCCAGGGTCATTCAGGAAGAGGCAATCTTAATTGAGAAAATGCTGCTATGGCAAGTCTGTGGAGCATTTTCTTTATTGATGTTGATAAGGGAGAACCCAGCTCACTGTGGGTGGTGGCACCCCTGAGTGATATAAGAAAGCAGCTGAGCAAGCCATAGGGAGCAGCAAGCCAGTAAGCAGCACCTGTCCATGGCTTCTGCTTCAGTTCCTGCCTCCAGGTTCCTGTCTCTGCTTCCTGCCCTGACTTCCTCACATGTGAGATTGTTATATAGAACTGTAAAGGAAAGTAAACCGTTCCCTCCCCAACCAAGTTGCTTTTGGTCACGAAGTTTTATCACAGCAACAGAAACCTAACTACGATAGCATCTCTCCTTCAGCCTCATGGAAATGGAAGGAAAAGCAAGGCATCTCACCCAAACTGCATGTTTGAGAACAGAAAAGAATGGTTTCTCAAAGAGAAAGGAAGTTACTGCAACAAAGATTGAATTGTAACATTTTAACTAATACAATTTGAGTTTCTTTATCTCCAGAGTTGTACTATTGTAATTTTAAATTTCCCTCAGTCAAGTGAGGTATTACCGGAAAACTGTGTCTAAATGGTACAACCTACAGATGAGGTGCTAGTGATTTTCTGTTACTTGCTAAGCAGCATCTGTCAGTGTTGTCCAAGGAAGCAGAGCCCACAAGGAGACTTGCAGGTTTGTGTGACCTCTGTAAGCTGGAGACCCAAGAGCCAGGGTGGGATTCAGTCTCAGCCCAGAGTCTGGAGAGGCAGGAGAGGCAGGAATTAAAGTCCCAGTCTCAGGGTAGAGGATGTCCAGCAGGTAAGGAAAGGGGAAGGCAGGCCCGAAGTCTTCTTTCCTCAGCACTTGCTGGACAGACTAGGTGATGCCCAGACGTTGAGAGCTCAGTCTCCTCTACTGAGTCTACCAGCTCATAGGCTAACTTCAGCTGGAGAACCTCATAGATACACCCAGAAAAATGTCCAATCCTTGCCCAGTCAAACTGGCACGTAAGATTCACTATCATGACCTCCTTGCTGGAGGTAAAACTTGAAGCATGGTGTCTTTCTTTTTAAACACTGGCTGTATTTCAACTCTTGTTATACAGTGCTTTCTACTATACCAGAGAGAGAGTACAAAAACATCGATTTTTACAATGTTTGTAAAAAGTGAAAGGTGAAGTTTCAAGACTGGTTATTTCCATGGTTCTCATCTAAAATTTATCTCCTGACTTGTTCTTATTTTTTCTCCTTCAGGGGTAATTTCATACACCGAGTATCTTTTCTTACTTACAATCCTCACAAGTAAGTATACTAGTTCTCTTTACAGCAGTCATGTGGCATTTGCATCCTGAACAAACAGGACTTGAAATGTGGTGTTTGTAGGTTAAAGTGATTACTGTACAGACATGACAACCTGAGTTGAGACCCCTAGCATTCAGAAAAAGCAGGCATGGGCGTATGTACCTGTTGTCCCAGTGCTGGGGAGTGGGGCTCACTGGCTAGCCAGTCTAGTAAAATAGTGGGAAGAGCTCCAGCTTCAGTGAGAGCAGTAACCCAAGCTGTCCACCTCAGCCTCTGACTTCCACACATACATACATGCACACACACATGCACAGACTCAAACGTACACACCACGTACACATGAACCTTAATCTCTACATCTACAAAATGACAATGTTAAGTTAGAGTGTGGCCAGGCAGTGGCGCCACATGCCTTTAATCCCAGCACTTGGGAGGCAGAGGCAGGCGGATCTTTGTGAGTTCAAGGCCAGGCTGGTTTACAGAGCGAGTTCCAAGACAGGCGCAGAGCTACACAGAGAAAGCCTGTCTCGAAAAAACAAAAACATAAATTAGAGTGTGTTCTTCTACCCCACGCACTATGGCACCCTGTAACTTTATGTTTCTGACACAGAACATTTACTGAACAGAAAAATCATGGTCAGTATTGTCTAAGAGAAAGAAAAAAGTCATGGTTAATATTCTCTGAAAAAGAAAGAGAAAAATCATAGTTAGCCTTCACAGGAAGAGAGAGAGGGAGAATTTTGTGTTTTATTTGGGGAGGTTGGTTTTTGTTTTGTGAAGAGTCTCACAGTGTGACCTGGCCTGGAACTCTCTTGAACTCAAAGAGATCCTCCTGCCTCTGCCTCCAGGATTAAAGGCATGGGCCACCATGTTTGGCCTCTTAGAGATGTTTTTAAAAAACAACTTTATTTGACATTGAACAGGATTCTTGACCTTCAAAAGTATTCCAGTGGTGGAAACTAAGAAATGATTAAGGAGTTCTCGTATATGGATGAGACTAAGCAGACATTGTAACTAAATGCAGAATACTTGACATTGATTCTAAAACAAAACAGCACTAGTGAAAGTTACAAAACCTGCTGCTCGTGGTTCATATTGCTGTGCCAATGTTAATATCTTAGTCTCCATAAGTGTGCTGTGGAGATGTAAAGTGTTAACCCCTAGAGGAAGCTGGCTAAAGACTATGTGGGCATACATTATTGTAGTTGTCAACAAGTGGCAAAATAAAAAGTTACAACTAGGAAGGGAAGTAAAAAAGAATAGTAATAATAACCGCTCTGAAAGTAGCAGGAGTGCTGTGAGAATACACGAAAGCCGGAGGTAAGATGGATCAACAAATTCTCACGGTAAGCTGTTGCAGAGGGCGAGCAAGCCAGCCACAGCCCCCTGGGAGATGTTGAGAGGCAGGAGCTTCAGCTTTAAGTACTGCTTGAAAGAGAACCTTCTTGCCCGGCAGTGATGGCGCACGCCTTTAATCCCACTCGGGAGGCAGAGGCAGGCAGATCTCTGTGAGTTCAAGGCCAGCCTGGTCTACAGAGTGAGTTCCAGGACAGCCAGGACTGTTTCACAGAGAAATCCTGTCTCAAAAAACCAAAAAAAAAGAAAGAAAGAAAAGGAAGGAAGGAAGGAAGGAAGGAAGGAAGGAAGGAAGGAAGGAAGAAAGGAAGAAAGGAAGAAAGGAAGAAAGGAAGAAAGGAAGAAAGGGAAAGGAAAAAGGAAAGGAAAGGAAAGGAAAGGAAAGGAAAGGAAAGGAAAGGAAAGGAAAGGAAAGGAAAGGAAAGGAAAGGAAGAAGGAAAGGAAGAAGGAAAGGAAGAAGGAAAGGAAGAAGAGAAAGAAAAGAAAGAAGAAGAAAAAGAACCTTCTTAGCCAGGTGGTGATGACACACTCCTTTAATCCCAGCACTTGAAGGCAGAGGCAGATGGATCTCTGAGTTCAAGGCCAGCCTGGTCTACAGAGCGAGATCCAGTACAGCCAGGGCCACACAGAAAAACCCTGTCTGAAAAGAGAAAGAAAGAAAAAAGTAATAAGAAGGAAAATATGAAACAGATCCTTCTTCTTTCTGTCTAGCTCTTGCTTATATACTTTTTGGTTATTTATTTCAAATTTGAAGTTTTTCCTAGCTACAAATGCTTAGCATTCTGCCAACAACTAAATAATTGTCCATTGTTCACTTCCTTGCAGAACCTCACACTGGCTTCCATGTTGCTTTTAAAATGCTGGATGCAGATGGCAATGAGATGATTGAAAGAAAGGAGTTTGTCAAGGTGAGCACATGCTTGATCGGGGTTGTCGGAACAGCTGGTGCTTGTGCAGTGATTGTGCATTTCCTTCCAAGTCAGAACGGTAGTCACTGTCTGCTCGGGAACTATCAGACCATTGCATGTTAAAAACTGTTCTCTGATGGCTCAGCACTCGGGCTCTTGCAGAGGGCCTGGCTTCCATTCCCAGCACCCACGTGACAGGTTTTGACTGTCACTCCAGTTCCAGATCTGATGCCCTCTTCTGACCTCTGCAGGCACCAGACACACATGACACACAAACATGCACGCGGGCAAAACACTCGTGTGTGTGTGTGTGTGTGTGTGTGTGTGTGTGTGTGTATTAAAAGCACTTTCTGAAATACAGTCTTGGAAAAATTGACAAGTGACTAGAGCATAAGGTTCTAAAAGGAGAAATGACCTTTGAGCATCTATAGTTTCAGGACTTCAGTACATAATTATACAGTAAAAAGGGCTTTATAGACCATATATATGCTTTAAAGAATACATGTTAGAGATGTGTTTTAAATTATTCTCATATCAAAAACAAATGATAGAAAAGGAAGCCTTTGTGAAGAATAATATCCCAAAAAATATGAATTAGCACAAGTTTTTTAGAAACTGGGTACAGCTAATATTTGAAAGGCTGTAAGTACAGCTAAGTGTTTAATAATATTTTTTTCTGTTTTTCTTTTTTCAGTTTTAAGATTGAGTGATTGATGGATTGATTATGTAAATAGCATGTTTGCCTGAAGGCCAGGAGAGGGCACCAGATCTCTTTACAGATGGTTGTGAGCCACCATGTGGTTGCTGGGAATTGAACTCAGCACCTCTGGAAGAGCAGTCAGTGCTCTTAACCTCTGAGCCATCTCTCCAGCCCCTTAATAATATTTTTTCTGAGGACATAGTTCTGAACCTCCAAACAGTGAATTCCACTCTGTTTCCTAAAAGCTGGTGCTGATGTGAAAGAAATACCTCAGTGCAAACTGTTAGGTGTGCTCTGTCGTTAAATGCAGAGGGAGAAAATGTGTATGGATACCTACATTTATGAATTTAGTAGATTATAGGCATCAATGATAAACCAGTGAGGATATGTGAATGACAAATTATGTGTGTACATACATGACTGATTTGTGGCATTTCGATTTGTGGGGTTTTGTTTGTTTGTTTGTTTGGTTGGTTGGTTGGGTTTAGAGGTTTGGGGTTTTGGTGGGTTGTTTTTTTGTTTTGTTTTGTTTTGTTTTCCCCAAGAAAAGGTGTCTGTATGTAGCTCTAGCTGTCCTGAACTCACTCTGTAGACCAGGCTGGCCTTTGCCTCTCTAGTACTGGTGTTAAAGGTGTGGGCCACTATGCCCAGCTGAGGAGGTGTAAAGCAAATAGCACTCTATTTATTTATTTGTGTGTGTGTGTGTGTGTGTGTGTGTGTGTGTGTGTGTGTGTGTGTTGCTAGAAACAAGATGATGCTCGGGTTGAAAAACAAAATTACCGTCTGCTTTCGAAGTTAAATACATGCGTAGCACATTACTTGAGAATTTTATTCCTAGATCTGTAGTCAAAGAAAAGAGAGTACATAGGTGAGTGTGGTAGCTCAAGCCTGCGACCCCAGTCTTTAGTAAATTTAGGAAGATTGCCATGAGTTCTAGGCCAACCAAGGCTATAGAGGAAATTCTAAACCAGCCTGGGCTACAGTGAGAGACCTGTCTCAAAAACACAAAATACCTAGCAAGTGAATCTCTGTAAGATGAAGGCCAGCCTGGTCTATATACCAAGTTCCAGGCCAGTTAATGCTATGTAGTAAAACCTTGTCTCAAAAAATAGTAAAGATAGAAAGCGTATGTTCCCCCAGGACCTGAATATGAATACACATAGCAGCTTTATTCATAATAACCCCAATCCAGGAGCAACCAAAATGTTTGTCAAGTGACTAAACAAATAAACGTTTATGTAGTAGAATTCTACCCAGCAGCAAAAAGGGACAGAGTATTAAGTAATCAACAATACGGATGAATTCAAATAAAAGAAAAAGTCCAAACTTCCGGTTCCGTGTGTATACAGTTCTTCATGTCTATACTCAAAGAAAGCAGACCCCCGGTTGACTCAGCCAGGAAGGAGTAAGGGTCGATCGATTGCCTCCAAGAGGAAAGGGAGAGAGAAGAAATGCTGAACATACTTCGAGTCTTGATCACTGGTGCTTACGTGGCTACGTAAGGTGTATTTTGTTCTGTGTAAATTACATCTCGTAAAATTTTTTGACACAGTTCCATACCATAACTTTGAAAATGGTTTGTTTTGTACAAGAAACTATTGCCAAGTCTTGGAACAGAGGAAGAGCAGAAAAAGACTAAGATAGAGAATGAACTATAAAAGAGTGGAGCCCCTCAAAAAGTAGGCTTGTCAATGCTTCCCATCTGTAGCAATGACCCAGAGTAGACGTGTCCATCCTAGCAAGTGGGGAAACAAGGGCAGACAGTAGAAAGCTGAGGAGGCTGCAGCGTGGCTGGCGGCTCCCCGGGTTAAAGTGCAGACACCACGTTACCAGAAGTGACCAGGAGTGGCTCTTCTGTTCATTTTAAAAGTTTGATAAATGTGCGGGGGGGGGGGGGTGCATGTCACTTTTTAGAAATTAAGGCCCTAGACTAGGGAGATGGTTCAGTGGCTTAGAGTACTGGCTGCACAAGCCTGAGGACCTGGGTTCAGATCTCCAGCACCCATATACGGCCATGCATGTCTGTGACACCAGTGTTGGGGGATGAAGCTAGGTGGATCCTGGGAACTTGCTGGCCAGCCAGGCTAACAGAAACCAGTGAGAGACTCTGTCTTTAGGGAATAGGACAGAGTGACAGAAAAGGACATCCATCATGGTGCTCTGGCCTCTGTACAAACACAGGCGCACACACATACCTGCAAATATACATGCATATACCACATACACCTGCCACAGTAAATAAACAAAAATACCTCTGTAACAAACACATGATTAAGTTAAATGTCTGATCTAGAATGAAGGCTTTTTAGTTGGATAGACTAATTGACACTCCTTGTTACTTTTCTTGCCTAGATCTAGGTGGATGTATGTATGTAGTCTCTGCAGCTGCCAGTGTCCTTTGCTTTGAAGTGCAGCAAAGAGCACTCAGGAGGCTAAGGCCAAAAGATCACGAAGTTCACACCAGCACAAGCAAGACCCTGTCCAGAAAAAAATGTTTCACTGTAAAGTGCAGCAAATATGTAAAGGCACTTGGCAAAGCAATCTAAATAAGGAATCCTTATAGATTTTTATGATTTTTTCCAGCCATTACAAGTCTACCCTTAGGAATTAGGAGCAGATTTATCAGTAGTATGCATTTATCACAGCTCAGAAGCCTTCTAGAAATAGTTCTCCTCAGTCTCATTTCCAGTAGTGGAAGTAATTGGATTGCCAAGAGCAGTAAGCAGAGTCCTGGAGAATCCAGAAAGCCCAAGAGAAAGGCAGGAAATCTTGGAAAGAACGGAGGGGTATAGGGAATGTTTAACACCGTTCCTTCTAGTGGTCGAATGGACAGGCTGAGTGGAGACATCTGAGGTTTTGTGGGTCAGCAGAATTATTACAAAAACATTTCAAAAGAAGGTAGGTGGCCTGGATAGATAGCTCAGCAGTTGAGAGCTTTTTTTTTTTTTTTTTTTTTTTTTTTTTTTTTTTTTTTTTGCTCTGGCAGAGGACCCAGGTTCAGCTCCCAGAACCTAATGGTAGCTCACAACCATCTGTAACTCCAGTTCCAAGGAATCCTATGCCCTCTTCTGACATTCACAGGCACCAGGCACACACATAGTACACATACATACATGCAAACAAAACATTCATACACATAAATAAAATCATTTAAAATTTTTTCAAGAGAGGTAGAGACTGGAAAATAAATAGGAAATGCAAAATTGCTATCAATAAATTTAGGAAAGTTCTTTGAGATTTTTTTTACTTGTGTATGTATACATATACACATGCATGGTATATATATGGAGCACACACATGCCATGGGGCATGTGTCATAGGACAGCTTACAGGAGTCAATTATCTGCCTCCACTGTGGCATCACCACCACAATTCCAGAGCCCAGAGTTATGTTGCACTTTAGTGATGTTTGGGGGGGTGGGGTTGACATGAGGCAAAAATCACAAAGCTGGTAGTCAGGCATGGAAGCTTGTCTGAAATCTTGTCAGCTACAGAAGACGGTAAGTACTCAAGATGACTTCCAGACAGTGGTGACTAATGGCAGAATACCCAAGGTTGATCTCTGACCTCCACCTGCACAGGCACCACATATAGAAAGAAAACAGAAAACTATTAGGACGCATCACTGATTGTTTGAAGGCTAAAGATATAAAGCCAACCTTAGATGCCTCTAGTGGGTTCTTAGTGCTAACTATAGAAATGGAACTTGATAGATGGGAATTGATAGATGGGTCAGTTTCTGAAGAAAGATTTCAAGGAAGAAAACTCCATTTATATTAATTATGTTAATTGTTTCACCTCCATGGTCCTTATTTTAATAAACCTAAGTATGTAGTATATATATACACACACACATACATACATACATATTCATATTCTTGAAAGAGCCAGGTGTGGGGTGCAGTGATAAGATACATCACTGTACTGTCTTGTGAAAGTGTCCTAACACACAATTGCCCCGGTTTGTAACTTCAGTACTTGTGAGCATTTGTGCTTTATTAACATCCAGATGAAAATGCCGTGTCAGGAAGCAGGGTGCTTACTTCTTCAGTCTGAGAACTGGTGAAAGATTCGCCATCTCCGTGAGTTGCTCTCTGTCAGGTGTGATAAACAGTGTGGACAGTGATCAAAGCCAGTGAGAGTTGATCCATGTAATCTTCACCTTGATAGATGGTGCATCTGCTTGTGGGCCCAGTGCCAGGGTTTTAAGCAGCTTCTCTAGACAGTAGATTAATGACCAGGCTATTCACCGGGGAAACGGCTCCTTAGGTGGTCCCTTCATTCCGAGCTGCTTTCATAC